AACAAAAGATAGTAGTGTAAATCGAATTTAACGAAATAGTTTTTTTTTTTTCTTTTTCTTTGTCTCATTGTCAATTTCCTTCGTAATGAGCTCCTCTGCGACGTCCTCAATGGCCTTAGGCGGTGGATCCGCTGAGGCTTCTTCTGCTGCCAAAAACACCTCAAAGCGTCCAAAATGTGATCACCTATCATCTCTATTCTTTTCACACATTTCTCATTTGCGGTTACTTTTCAGATTGTTTTTTCTTTTTCTTTTGTGGATTTGATAAATGTGTACGTTGGGAATCTTGGGATCGTACATATAGTGTGTTCTTGATTGCCTTTATTATTTTCCACCTATATAATTGTTGTAATTTTGATTAATCCTTCTATGTGATTTTCATCATAAAGCATCTACCAATGCGGATGACTGGTTTTTCACATATGTATATAAACAGATTCAGATTTGTGTATGTTTGTCTGATACGTAATACCTTTAGTATTCCAGTTCATGCATGTAATATTTACAAAAGGTGCAGTTTGGTACCTATTTTGTTGGATTGTTTGTAATTAAGTTTCCATGAATTTGTAAATTGAAAAACCTAACCTGTTGGATAAATCTTCCTCATCAGATTCAAGATTTACCCAACAGGAGCTCCCAGCATGCAAACCAATTCTTACTCCAAAATGGGTAAATGCTTCAGTAACTCATACTAATGTAACATTCTTATATATGGTTACAATTTCCAATGTTTATTATTTTTGATGATCTTATTATTTTCGCAGGTGATTCTGACTTTTCTTATGTCAGGAGTTGTCTTTATTCCTCTTGGAGTGATTTGTCTATTTGCTTCTCAGGGTGTATGTTTTCATTAGTCTTTTCAGTTTCCTCACTTCCCAGCTTCATTTTTATTTCTTACTTTGTGAATATGATTTTTATATTCTAGCTATTACATGATATCAGGTCACTGAAATTGTAGATAGATATGATACAGACTGCATTCCCTTATCCTCTAGAGACAACAAAGTCAGATATATACAGGGCTTAGAAGATAAGAGGTGTAACAGAACAATAATGGTAGATACATATATCATCTTTCAGTTCTAGCTTGCTATATTCTTCTTAATTAATTTGCTTTCTTTCACAGCCCTTCTCTTATAATGTTTCATTTTTGATAGGTAACTAAAACTATGAAGAATCCTGTCTATGTTTACTACCAGCTTGAGAACTATTACCAAAATCATCGACGGTAAAATCTCCCTAGTAGTCTTCATTATGATGTTTGTCTAGCCAGCAAGACATCTTTGAACATGAGCAAATAGATATTTTGCCATATCACATATTATATCTATTAAACAGAAACATGCATGGCACAAAATATTTTGAGACAGTAATACCTTATTTGGTGTTTTTGCTAATTGCTGCAGGTATGTGAAAAGTCGACAAGATGGACAATTGAGAAGTCCAAAAGAAGAACATGATGTGAAGTCATGTGCGCCGGAAGATACTGTTGGTGGTGAACCTATTGTTCCTTGTGGTCTTGTTGCTTGGAGTTTGTTCAATGATACTTATGACTTCAGTAGAAACAACGAAAAAATCCCTGTGAATAAGAAAGGCATATCATGGAAGAGTGATAGAGAATCAAAATTTGGTAAAAATGTCTTCCCAAAAAATTTCCAGAAAGGATCTCCCATAGGCGGTAAAAGTCTTGATCCAGAAGTTCCAGTAAGTTAGTTTTGATGAGTTGATTAACAAAAAATCCAAACTGATATATAACATATAAGAAGAGATAAGCTACTCACTGTGAATTGATTTTGATTTAGAAGTCCATAACCATTAAACAATTTCTTTAATCATAAAAGAAATCACATGATGTATAAACTTTGTTCAAAATGTATTTTTTTCTTTCTGGCAGTTGAGTGAGCAAGAAGACCTAATTGTATGGATGCGAACTGCGGCTTTACCAACATTTAGAAAGCTGTATGGCAAAATAGACACTGATCTTCAAGCTGGAGATACAATAAACGTATTGTTGCAGAATAATTACAACACTTATAGCTTCAATGGAAAGAAGAAGCTTGTGCTATCTACCACAAGCTGGCTAGGTGGAAGGAATGATTTCCTCGGGATTGCGTATCTGACTGTTGGTAGCATATGCTTGTTCTTGGCTGTTTTCTTCTCTATCTTGTATCTAGCAAAACCAAGGTATGTAACATTCTCTACAATGCTACATTCCATTCTCTGATTTTTGAGACTTCTGTCATAACGACATAGAGAGTCTATATAGCACAAAATGTTATATGCATCTTATGTTTTTTAATGTGTTCAGGCAATTGGGAGATCCTTCTTACTTGTCTTGGAACAGAAGTGCCGGGGGTGGACGAGGATAGATTTCTTTTAAGCTCTCTCGTTTGTGGTATACTTCTTCTTCTATTGGTAAATAAACTCTCCATAATTGTCTAAACCAGAATAGATGTTTACTGTTTACAACAAAAAGTATGCATAGACTAACCAATAAGTATACCTTTTCGTTCTTTTGTTTGATTAAAAGAGTTAAATTTGAATGACTATGGTCCTTTGGCACAAAGTCTGTTGAGAACTAACTAAAGCAAATGTCAATAATGTTTTTACCAATTGTCAGAGCATATGGAAGGCATGTGAGAAACCTGACATAATTGGAACTTCAAATGTTCTCAATGGTCTGCCATGCTTTTATTTTATTTTTTATTTTTTGACATCTCAATGGTCTGCCATGTTTATATAATGGCAATAATACCAAATTTACTTCATCCACCAGAATTCTTATTTTTAGAGGTTCCATAATCCCTAATGGTTGATCTGGGGATATGCAATAGCATTAAGAAACCTGATTCAACTATTACAAGGTTACACCAATATCAAGTGAGACAAGTACTTATTGTTGAGAAATGTAACTCGGGAAAGTTAAAATGATTTCTTTTCGTACGAGACCAGTCCATGAATTCCACCTTCTATCTGTGCTGCACCAGTACGAGCCTATTCACAACATCAAAACCGTAAAACGTAAATACAAATCAAAACTGCAGAAATCATAGATTAATATAGTTTTCCAAGGAGTAGAATTAACGGACGTACCTCTAGTCGTAGGACATTATCTCTCAATAGCTCGTGAGCAGACTGCAAAGAGGAAGCACCGAGATCTTGGAAACCTTGCTTCACGGCATGCATTGTGTAAGGAATAAACTTCAACACCGAGCCTTTATCTGCAACTGCTCCAACTACTCCTTGTGCGATCTTGAGTTTTGTGGTATCTCCCAAGTATCTCTGGTCGCTTCCTTTGGTCATTGCTTCTAATGAACCCATACCTCTGTATTTCTTCACTCTCCTACCATTCTATGAATAAAACACAACAGATAAAACAAAGCAAAATAATTGAGGATCATGGCAGCTGGTCAAAATAATATTCAAAGTAGGAAGTTGTGTTCAATAACCCGATATTCATAAGCTCCAGGAGCCTCGGTGCTTCCAGCTAAGAAGCTTCCCATCATCACAGTTGATGCTCCAAGAACTAGAGCCTTCACAATGTGACCTGAGTTTGAGATACCACCATCTGCAATTACAGGTACACCATGCTGAGCAGCAACCGTTGAGACTTTGTACACAGCAGTAGCCTAAGAGGGTACCAATCACATTCAAAAAAGAACCCAATTTTATAAGGTGCAATTCATAGAATCAACTTAGCACTCTTATTTTAAATATGAAAGCCTTTTCATTTACCTGTCCACGTCCAACAGCACAAACCTCTTGTGTTGTGCATATAGATCCAGAACCCATACCGACTCTCAACCCATCAACTCCTGCTTTGATCAAGTTCTCTGCCTGGTACATAGTTACCACATTCCCACCAATCACATCCAACTCCGGATACGTATTCTTCACATACTTAATCATGTCAATCTGGTAAATTGAGTTCCCTTGCGAGCTATCCAAAACCACAACATTAGCTCCAGCTTTCACCAAGTGCTCTAGCCTCTCTTTGTCTGAATCCCTTGTCCCTATAGCAGCACCCACCATCCATTTATTGTCTGCACCAACAGTTCCTGACCCCAACTTGGGATATCCTTTAACCCTCTCCACATCGTCTTTTGTCACTACGTTCACGGTCTCACCTTCCTTCTCCAGAACCACAAATCCTTTCTGCTTATCTTCCAAAACCGCCTCTATCTTATCAAGATCAATATCCCACGGCACATTGTAATCTTTGCTCTCACAACTCCGCATGTAATCATATATCTTCATCTCCTTTTGGTCATCTTTCATGCTCGACCATTCCGATTTTGAGACATAACCCAACAATTTCGGTGTCAATGTTCCTGATTAATCAAACAGCAACATAAATGTCGTTTAGTGGAAACTAATTTCACAATAGTATTGACAATAGTATTCAGTATCTACTTGAAACTAATTCGCAATTATTACCACTATTTTGATTCATACTGGAAAAGGAGATTACTTTCAGCTAAAAGTCTGAAATTGACAGTGAATTATACCTGTCTGCGAGACAAAAACGAAGGAAGAAGGACCAAAATCATCAACCGAGCCAATCTGATGCTCTGGGCATTTGAAAACAGCATCGGAAGCAATCGGAACTTGGAGAGACTTGGCGTGACGGATGACGGAAGCTTGAGTATCGATGTCGCAGTTATAGTGCACGATTCCGATTCCTCCGAGCGCAGCCATAGCAGCAGCCATGTGGGATTCAGACACGGTGTCCATCGGCGAAGCGACGCATGGGATCGAGAGCGGAACGCGCTTGCTGAGGCGCGTGGACAGTGAGACGGCGTCCGTGGAGAAGTCGATGTAGTGAGGTAGAAAAATCACATCATCGTAGGTGTATGAGTAGCCCTGTGAGAATAGCCTTTCAGCTGCAAATCCATCTTCGAATCCTCCTCCTGACATCTTCTAATCCAACAATGGCGTCGCTGCGTTGAGAAACTGGGAAATGAACAGTGAGAGTAAGTTAGCTAGGGTTTTAGTGAGGAGGTTGGTGAAAGGTTTAAGAGCGAAAGATGACAAAATGAAAAACAGTAGGTGATAAGATAAAACCGTAACCGAATATATTAAACCGAATCAAACCAAATCAAATTTGGCTTTATCAACCGGATGTATTGTTATCCACGCCAGGGATTGTACTGTTTGCGTATCCGAACATTACGTATCATCGGCCATCGCTAATTTCTAATTTGGCATCTCAGTTTCCTTCAGTGTGCCTTCTTCACTCTCACTACAGCTTCGATCGAGTTCAAGGTCAGGTTCCTAACATCTTCATTTGTAATGTAGATCAGTCTAAGATCTTTGTGAATTCTAGGTTCTGATTTTGAATTTTTCTCTCAAAACTTCAGGTTTTGTTTCTCTACGATAAAATGGCGGATTCATCATCGTTATTGTACAATCAGCTCAAGGTTTAGTATATTTCATAATGCTGAGTGTTAAATCTCTTTTTTCCTTTCTGCTGATTTCTTGTTTTGACTCTTTGTAGGTTGCTAAACCGTTCTTCTTGTTGGCTGGTCCAAATGTGATTGAATCCGAAGAACATGTTCTTCGAATGGCTAAAAGCATTAAAGATATTGCCACAAAGTATGTTTAACAATCACTAGTTAAGCTATTTTCTTGTTTTTTTTTCCAGAGATCTTGTGTGGGGAGCTAATAAAAGAATTGATCAGGGAGAAGTATTTTGAAATATTGATCCACATATAGCAATTGGGTCATAGTTGATCCTCTCATCACATAGCATTTTTAGGTTGTTGAGTAGTGTGGTTACTTATGCATGTTCTTGTTGTTTGTGAACGTTGTAGGCTTGGGTTGCCTCTGGTTTTCAAGTCAAGTTTTGATAAAGCTAACAGAACTTCATCAAAGTCATTCCGAGGTCCTGGCATGGCTGAGGGTCTGAAGGTAGTTTCCCCTGTTTACTTTTTTTGACAAATTCATTCCCTCTACATTGACTTGCAAGTATGATTGATTCTATATCCGGTGCTGTTAGAATTATGCATTTGTATTTCTTCAGGAGTATCAGTGCTAAAAAAGATCTTATATTTATTAATACTAAGGTCTTTTCAAATATTTCACTGTGAGCTGACACCAGCAATTAGCAGTAGCTCCTGCAGTAATGCAACCAATCAGTAGCGATGTGGCTTCATTTTATGTGTGTAAATTTTGGTCAAGTATCATAAGGTAGTAACTTTTCTGGTTCTCTCAACAGATTCTTGAGAAGGTGAAAGTAGCATATGATCTACCAATTGTTACTGACGTTCATGAATCGAGCCAGGTATATTGAGTTTTAGTCACGTCAGAGAATCAAGATTTGAAGATATCTGTTCCTTCTGATGTGAAGTATTTTTTCATTAGTGTGAAGCAGTCGGCAAGGTTGCAGATATAATTCAGATACCGGCGTTCTTATGTCGTCAGGAAAGATTCTGACATATGCTTTCTTCAACTCTTTTTTAGCTATCATATTTTTATCTACTGTTTTTATTTACTTAACAGGGTTCATGGTTTTAACTATTAACTATATCTCCAGACAGATCTTTTGGTTGCGGCTGCCCAAACTGGGAAAATAATCAATATAAAGAAGGGACAATTTTGTGGTCACTCTGTGAGTTATCTTTTCTGTCGTGTTTTGATCTGGCCAAACTTTTGTTTCCTGGTTATAGTGACTATCTGACTGATATCATGTATATCCAATTTAAGGTCATGAGAAACTCGGCCGAGAAGGTTAGACTCGCAGGGAATCCAAATGTGATGGTTTGTGAAAGAGGAACGATGTTTGGATACAGTAAGTTGACTGTTCTTTGTGTTAATAGAATTGGCAACATAAATGAACATGCAGATTGCTATTTACCACCTCTATGAAAAAACAAGGACTAAAATAGAATAAAAGACACTGGATACCTTCTTTTATTGCTTCTGAGTGTCCTTACATTTGATTTTGTTCCTCAGATGATTTAATAGTAGATCCACGAAATTTGGAATGGATGAGGGAAGCTGATTGTCCCGTTGTAAGTTAATCTTGCTTGTTCTTTTTCTTGTTGCGGGAGTTTGAAGCTTGGTTTTGATGTTATATTTTGATGTTTGACATTCTTATAACATAATAGGTTGCTGATATAACTCATTCATTACAACAACCTGCTGGCAAGAAGGTATGACAATTAGAGCCAATGCTCTTAGTAACTTAGGAAGTGCTTAATGTTTCAAAGCTAATCATAAATGGTCTAAACTCAAACATACCTTGTTTATATAGTTAGATGGTGGGGGTGTTGCTAGTGGAGGCCTTCGCGAATTGATACCATGCATAGCAAGAACCGCTGTGGCTGTTGGTGTCGATGGTATATTCATGGAGGTACCGAAATTTGTTTGCAAGTTGATCCTATTTTTTGTCATCTTTAAATCTTTGTTCCAATTTGGTTAATTTTCCGGTGAATTAGGTGCATGATGATCCTTTAAGTGCACCAGTCGATGGTCCAACACAATGGGTGAGTTATACTTTTCTCAAACCATATCTATTCGCATTCTTGATCATCTTTCTTTCTTCCCTTATAGCCTCTGCGTCATCTAGAAGAATTACTGGAAGAGCTCATTGCAATAGCGGTAAGTCATTTACATCATCCCATAGATTTACTATGTGTTTCTCAATTTATTGTAAACATTGGCTCTTTTGACATCTTTGCAGAGTGTCTCAAAGGGGAAACAGCAGTTCCAAATCGATCTCACGCCTTATCGTGATTAGAGTCAAGGGATGTATTACCCACCCAGGCAAGTAGCCGATAAATCAAGATAATTTTTTTTTGATGAACTCTCTTCTCCTTCTCATCATTTGCAGATATTATATGATTTATGACAGGACAGGTATACTCAGTATTTTTTCCCTGACTTTTGCAGGTCTCAGATTCATGTTGTGTGCAACTACACCTTATAATATCTCAATATTGTCGGAGCAATACGCCAATACGCATTATTTATCTGTTTGTAGGCAGTCTGCAAAATACATCTCCCAACAGTGACTTATGTATTTTCATTTTTCAAAGTAACTGATGTTGCCTAATATCAGATGCTTAAGTTTGTTTTTATATTATTAGAAGAAATAAACAACAGTTATTTACTTCTTATATCTACAGAAGATACATTTTCTAAACGTTAATTTCTATATATACATACACAAGAGCTTCTTCTTTTGAACTTTCTGTATAATGCATGGTTTCTTTCTTTGTGCATGCATGATTGCACTTGCTCAACTGATAAAAGTATAATAAAATTAAAACCTTAAGCAAATAGTAATGTCTTTTTTCTTTTTCTTTTTGTTTCGAATAATTAATAGATGGGCCTAATAGTTGGACTCAAAAGGGAATGGGTTAAACAAATTTAGCCCAAACAAAAACCGAAAATAAGTATGAACTGAAGGGCCAAAATCGTAAATTTCATAAGCTCAATTTCAAACACAAGAGAAGCGGCGTCGCTTACTTTCGGAATTTTGCAACGGTAGAACTACTCACTTGCGATTGAGAGTATCTGGGAAGAAGAAAGCAGAAGATCTGGAGATTTAAGGGAAAATGGCGTTCGCGAAGGTAAAGTCTCTTACCTCTCCAAGAATTTGATTTGAAAACCGAGTTAGGGTTTATTATCGTTCATCGCAGATGAGTTTGAGATCGAGGGCCTGTTGTTCCTGTTCTCGTACGGTTACCATTGAGACGGACCTCTTTATGTCGTAATTCCAAAGCGCGCTTAGGTTTCAGAATCTTTAATTTCTCGTATATAGAAGAGATTTTGCTTCTTTTTTATCAGTTTGGTAAAAGGCATGGAAGTTACAAGATTGTATTCTTGTGATTTTCCTCCCAGATTTGTTTTATTTTATTTTATTGATATGGTCTTACAAATCACAAAGTGACAAAACCCTTTGTTCTTATTTCACTTCACTATATTGCAGGCACCAAGACTAGGTAGAGATGATATACTTGGAAATCGAGGTAATGGGGACTGTTTTTATCTCTCTGTCTGTTACTTAGTGAATCTTATTAAGTCTTAAACAAAAATAACTCAGTTCTACAAAAATGTTTACATCTTAAACAGTAAGCACTAGGAGTTTCAAAATCTTCTCCGATAACCAAAAAACTGATCCAGCCGGTACAGTGTAAGTGCATCTCTTGCATTCATCTTTCAGAACTATGTGTATTTGTTCATCTCAATTAACTTGTTGCTATTTCTGCAGAGGTACTTCACAGAAGACTCGTATTCCTTTGAGGTTCGTGGTGTTTGTTTTACAATTTTTTTTTTCTGTTACTTACATCCACTAAATGATGAATTTGGCTTGATCATGGACTAGACTTTATGAATCTCAAGAAATTTAATCTTATGCTTTTACATTGTTTAGGAGAAAGTCAGTTACATTTATCAATGGAGCAATTTCCAACACAAACAATATGAAGGTTTATCCCTTTCCCTCTTTCTGAGCTTTTTCAAGTGTTGGATGTTGTGCAGTTAATTCACATGTAAATGCATTTTTGTGTTGATTGAAAAGAAGGGCATTTCGAGAATCACATGCAAGGGCAAAAGCAGTAATGAAAATTCTGGTAAGCTTATCGCAGAGAGTATTTTCATTACAATTTTGGGATGTGGTTTTCAAAGTTAACTCAAATTTGTGTCTCGTTTTCAGAGGAATATACAAAAGTCACAAGAAAAGCTTTAGCTGATTTAAGTAATCTTGGCGGGAATACTCAAAGGATTTCAAGGCTTAGTGGCAGTAGCACCATGTAAATTGCTTAACTCTAAGGGTTTCTCTTTGTGATTTCTCATGGAAAAGAGTGTGATAAATTTCCCATGGTTTTCATTCCGTAATCAAACTGATTTTATGTTTATAAAACATATTTTTTAGTTAGTTTTTATTGTATTGATTGCTGTTCTGTTCTAAAACTATTCTATTGAACATGCAACATTGCAGGAAATGGAAGGGTGTAAAATGTGGAAATTTGCAAAGGTATGTAGTAATCATTAGCTACTGCTAACATACCTACAGCTAACATACCTACAATAGCGTTACATCACTACATAGGATTAGTAGTTCATCTCAGTTGATGAGCTTTTACAGAACGAATATTCAGAGTTTGGTAGGATGAGCTATCTGATTTTTGACAATGAGTTGATGAGCTGAGCGAATTGATCTTTTCATGTGTAGGATTTCAGTTGGTTCAACCAGAGTTAATGATCTTTCAGTGAAAAAGTCTACCAAGGTATAGCAACCGTATTTGGGAAACTATATTGATGTTGTATTCTTGCAAATTACTATGAATAGATGCTGCTATGAGATGCATATGACTTGCAGCAACTATCACAAACGTTGTATCTTAAAGCATGAGATTCATTAGTTTAACCACATGATCGCTATTTCCTCATGATATAGGAGCCTGAGATTAAAAGAACAACCGAACTTGGAAACAATAACCCTCATAAGACTGGTGAGTTCCTTAATTTTACGTTTTTTTTTTCATGTCTATGGCTGTAGTTGATCTTACCATTTATCTAAGCTTTCGATGATTCAGTTCATATTTTAGGTCAGAAATTCATCAAAAGCAAAACCCTGAGCCTTGGATCAACGGCTGCTGGAACAAGGTACATTTGTGTTAATCTCATGCCTAATAGAATTATCCCCTTCCAGACTAGTTTAAAGATTTCTCCTAGAAGAAGAAACTACATATCTTGTTTCTTCCCTACATTACCTATCAATATGTCAAAGCTCTCATCAAGGGACCTGTTATTCATTCAGCATAGCGACAACATTAATTTGTTCTCATCAAGTGAACTGTTTTTTCATTCAGACATTGGATTTATTTGTTCTTGCAGAAAATCTTTACCAACTTTAAAGAGAACAAGCCTCGCAGAGAAGAGCTTAAAAAAGGTTATTATTAATCTACTTTGAAAAGTTTTTGTCTTAGAGTTAGCTGGTTCTACAAAACTCTTGAGGCTAATCATTTTGGATATTTTACTTAATTGTACATGTCTCTACTCAGTATCTTTAATTCTGATTTATTCTTGTTTTTTTGGCGCAGTACAACGTCTCAAGCTTAAATTCGAAACAAATGGGTCAAGGTCCAGGTAACATGGATTTCTCTTCTAAACTTCTTATGTGTGATGGAAATGTGTATGCTAAAGTTGTAACTTTGATTGGTTCCGCATATGATAAGAGTGAGGTTGCATTGTTTCAGCTAGTAAAGTCAGCAACAAAGGCATCCCGCAGCTGAGCAGTGCCAGAACCTATACTTGGAAAACTCGGACAAGTGTCGGTTCTATACCATCGTAAGTAAATATGCTTGTTTCTGATATTTTTATTAAAGAAGTGAAGTTTTTGTGTCTCTCTTGCGTATCACACATTGACACTTTCAACTATCAATCTGTCATTAACTAATTCCTTGGTTGCATTCTCATAATCAATGTACGACTTGCATCTTAGAGAACCAGATATTTTTTTCTTTATCATTTGTGCCCAGCAACCTGAGTAATAAGCTGCTAAGTTAATTTTCTTTGCATGCTCAGGGACCGCAACAGCCAGAAGATGAATAATGTCTGTACCGTAAGGAGATCTATCAAGGTATATACCTAGTTCCTTTCTTATCTTTGTATGCAAGTGGTTTATTTCCTTTAAAGCCACACTATTTGAAGCTGTCTCAAAAATATTTTGGCCTTGGCCATACTAAATCAGTCTTCTTTCACTTGCATTAGCTTGTTTCTGATCATTTTATCTGGCAATAGTTTACATTCATATTGAGGTTCTTTGTTTAGTAAATATGTGACAAGCTTTCTCACTTACCCAAGATTCAGACAACTGTAAAGACGTCGCTACAAAACCGTAGTTCTCTTAAGAAGCCCCCAGTTGGTAGAAGTAAATCAAGATCAATTTTATCAGTCCCTTCTTCTGATGAAGTTGCCTCAACACTATCACTTCCGGAAAAGGTTGACACAGAATGTCTTAAAGAAGATACTCAGGGAAAGAGTTCATCTAGTGAAAACAAAGACCCAACAACAAAAATGTTGGATGTTACAGCAAAGCCAAAATCAAGACGTAGAAAGTCTTTCACATCTCTACTAGTGACAGGATCAAAGGTTCATAATTCTATTTCTACTAGAAGTTGTGTTCCTTGTGACATTTTTTCCTCCAATATTACTAATTTGGTAACTTTCTTTGCAGTTTGATGAGAAAAATGGTGACAGTGCGCTGCAAGAAAAGCTTCCCAACATTGATGATGAATCCAATCCGCTGGAAGTTGCGGAATACGTGGATGACATATATCAGTTCTATTGGATTTCAGAGGTAATTCACTTCTTGTTCCACATACATACAACTTCGCCTTCCTTATATTCGGTTTTTCATTTTTTCTCATAGTTTTTGAATTGAATTTCAGCTTTCCAATAGTTTAACGTGAAATGTTATCTCAGGCATTAAATCCAGCTTTGGGATTCTACTTGACAGCTCATACAGAAGTTAGTCCAGTTACACGTGGAATTTTGATCAACTGGCTTATCGAAGTGAGTTCATTGGATTTTCTGTTTCAAGTTTCCCTACTTAAAGTTTTTCTTCTCCATGTAGAATCCTATATCTCAGTATTGCCTATTTGTTTGCAGGTTCATTTCAAATTTGATTTAATGCATGAGACTCTCTACCTAACAATGAACTTATTAGACCGTTACCTTTCCCAAGTTCCAATAGGGAAGAACGAGATGCAATTGATTGGTCTTACTGCACTCTTATTAGCATCTAAATACGAGGACTATTGGCATCCCAGGGTATGTGACATTTATCATGAAAGCTAAAACCTCTCTTCTTAATCTCCTATGGTTTCAAACTTAAAATTATGTGCATGTGCAGATCAACGACTTGATCAGCATCTCAGCAGAATCATACACCAGAGAACAAATCCTGGGAATGGTATTAGTGAATTCTGTTTATAATCAACTGCACTATATTTATTTTAACAATCTAGGGTCGTTTGCATATTATCTTCCTTTTGTTTTCTTTTCAGGAGAGGATTATGCTTAAAGAGTTAAAGTTCCGTTTGAATGCACCCACCCCTTACGTTTTCATGTTGAGGTTCCTAAAAGCTGCTCAATCAAATAAGAAGGTTCACACAAAACTTCCACTTGAATGCTAT